GTTAGACCTTGAGAATGAATTTAAAGATAATTTGTTTGCTTGCAATTAATTTCCACAGAGCTACCTTTTAATTTCCGGCCCCATGAAATCCGTTTTATTTTCCCTAAATCCTGTTTTCCTTTTTTTTATTTTTTTATTGTGGATTGTGTTTTATGATTCAATACAAATGTATCATAAAAATGGTGTCTAATTAAATGAGTTAATTAAACTTTAACAATTTAATCAATCTTTTAAAATTTAATGAAATGAAAACATAATTTACAACAAAACATTGCTTTTTTTGTCAAATAAGATGCTGCACTGTATAACTGTATAAATTAATGAAAAATACTATGGTTGTATTATATTCCTTGAAATCATTATTATTATTACTTGAGAATTACATGTTAGTATACAGCAGTCACATATTTCTGTCATAATTTCTTCAAGTTAAATCTGACTTTTATTTTGATGGGTTGCTGTGAAGGCCTTTCAGTTTCAGTGTGTATTTGATGGTAGTTTTTCTCAAATGAAACGGTGTAGAGCTGGCGAGGTGAGTCTCAGAGCAGCTCTGGAGATGAAGTTTATGTGTTTGTGTCTCATATATTGAGACGCAGATGCTGAAATCACTGTGAGCATTATGTGTGTTTTGTGAATCAGACGAAACCGCACCATTCATTCACACAAAGACACGCAGAACTTGCAGAGTTGGCTTATTAGCGACAAGCACTGCATGTTGTCTTGTCACATTTATTTCTACTGTTATGCATAATGCATTTTATGGCGGCTCAATGTGATATTATTTCACCCTTCCCCTTTCCCCTACCCCTCCGTTTCGCGCATTCACGTGAAGGGGTAGGGATTTCTCAATTCTCTTTTGGTTGGAGGGGTAGGGGTAGGGGAAGGGCCAGACAGCCCTTCAAACGAAGATTTTTCGGGACCACACTTCAAACGAAGGGGTATGAATTATCTCAGCGTAAACCGGCTTCAGGGGCAACATGGCTGCCCGAGTGAACAAAGACACATAAATGTAAGCATTTTTGGCAGTAATAAAGATTTTAACGAAAAGTAATCATTTGTTTTATGTTACATTCAATCGTGAGTTCATATTTACGGTCATGTTACTCAAAGAAATGTTTGCAAAAAATCGCTAATATTTGCTAACTAACGTCATATCATTATAGACTGCACGATAGTGCCACAACATATTTTCATGTCTGATCAGGGCGATAACCACCGTAGACATTGAGGGGGGCTAGTCCCCCCAATAATTAGAAATCACTAAACCCTTTTCTCAAATATTGCCAATTCGAGAGAGCGAGAGAGAGAGAAAGAGATGAAAGTTTAGATGAAAGACGCGTTTCAGAAAGGAGGTGCATTGAGGAGAAACAATAATGTACAGTATGTGGAAAATAAGAACCTTAAACCGCATAAACACATTTCATTACACCAAATACACAAAATAATGTTCTTTTTAGCAACAGCATATGACCCCTTTAAGTCTTTTTAGGGTTTCATTACCATTCTGACTGTTTTGGTGAGTTAATCAAACTAACTCAAATGAGAACTCATAAGTTTCGGAATCTTTTTAGGCAACTCATTCAGTGAGTTGCCTAAAGATTCAGTGAGTTCATTCAGTGAGGGATTTGTCAGGCTAATTCAAACTAGTAACTCACAGTCTTTGTTGGCCAATTCACTTACAAGAACGAAGACATCATAATAGAAAGATGTGTTATGTTGGCATTGTTTACTTTTTATCTCATCACATTCAGTGAAGTCTTCATATTTGATCAAATATGATTTATTTTGCTGTGGCGCTGTAGATTCAATCATATCTGTTTGGAAAATAAACTGCACAATGGCTGTATGAACCGATTGTGTTGCCACTTTTCATGCACAAAGTCACAGGCTGTGTTTACAACTAAATTGACTCTTTTACGCTCTCTGACCCGTTGAAATAAGATGCCGTCATTTGGATCTGCCCTGCTCTGGGCAGCTACTGTACTACAGCGATGGGGTTCAATGGCCACAATGGTCCACTTTGATGTCAGCTCAGGTTATTCTGCATCTCTAAAGTGCCTGACAGTGTCCACTTGTTCAGATATATGAGAAAGCATGTGAATAGTGTTTGTACTAGTGCTTTAGTATAGATTGCTGGTTTAGAACATTGCTGGCTGACTAAGAGCCTAATTAGCCCTGCACTCGGAGGGTTGTATAGATTTTTAGTTTATTTTCGTGCAATGACTACTGACTATTGAACTCTGTGAAACAGGCACGTGCAATGACATTGAACTCTGTGAAACAGGCACAAAACATTTTGTACCTTTCACTGTTTCTCACATTTTCAGTCTTTTCGTCTTTTCGAGCACGCGTCAGAGTGACGTAAATACTAGACTCTTGAAAATAATTGGTGCGTGTTTGAAGGTGAAGAGTCTGGCTGAAATGCTAAAGTGTTTTTGTAAGGCTTGAGAGAGTGTATTAATTTATGGATATATGGTGATGACTTAAAGAGAGAATGATGGGACAGGCATTACAAGGCATTTTCAATTCAATTCAATTAAATAGGAATGGTAAAAGTGAGCTTATTTTTTTCATTGGCTTGATCAGCCAGTGTACTATAACTTTTCTAAATGATCCTACATGTATTTTCGCCTGGTGAATAATAAAACAAAATTCCCATAGATTCATGTCAAAGGGGGAAACTTCCTTCCATATTTAGAGACCATTCAAAAGTTTGGGGTCGGTAATGTTTTTGAAAAAAAAATTTAAAAGAAGTTTCTTATGCTTTATGCAAAGCTGCATTTATTTGATCAAAAATAGTAATATTATGAAATATTACAATTGAAAATATTTTTTGATGTGTTAATATATTAAAAAATACAATATATTTCTATGATGGTGGCGTTCATTTTCAGCAGTGTTAATTAAATATCATTAAAATACTAGTTTCGTTTTTGTTAATATTTTGAATTAGATGTTAATTTAGTATTTTCCATTATAGTAATTTTGTTGTCTTTTTGTCATTTTTATTACTTTTGTTGTTTTTAAGTATGTCTATAGTTTTTTATTTTTATTTTTTACTTCTGTTTGAGTTATTTTTAAGTTTTGGTGAGTTAATCAAACTAACTCAAATGAGAACTCATAAGTTTCGGAATCTTTTTAGGCAACTCATTCAGTGAGTTGCCTAAAGATTCAGTGAGGGATTTGTCAGGCTAATTCAAACTAGTAACTCACAGTCTTTGTTGGCCAATTCACTTACAAGAACGAAGACATCATAATAGAAAGATGTGTTATGTTGGCATTGTTTACTTTTTATCTCATCACATTCAGTGAAGTCTTCATATTTGATCAAATATGATTTATTTTGCTGTGGCGCTGTAGATTCAATCATCTCTGTTTGGAAAATAAACTGCACAATGGCTGTATGAACCGATTGTGTTGCCACTTTTCATGCACAAAGTCACAGGCTGTGTTTACAACTAAATTGACTCTTTTACGCTCTCTGACCCGTTGAAATAAGATGCCGTCATTTGGATCTGCCCTGCTCTGGGCAGCTACTGTACTACAGCGATGGGGTTCAATGGCCACAATGGTCCACTTTGATGTCAGCTCAGGTTATTCTGCATCTCTAAAGTGCCTGACAGTGTCCACTTGTTCAGATATATGAGAAAGCATGTGAATAGTGTTTGTACTAGTGCTTTAGTATAGATTGCTGGTTTAGAACATTGCTGGCTGACTAAGAGCCTAATTAGCCCTGCACTCGGAGGGTTGTATAGATTTTTAGTTTATTTTCGTGCAATGACTACTGACTATTGAACTCTGTGAAACAGGCACAAAACATTTTGTACCTTTCACTGTTTCTCACATTTTCAGTCTTTTCGAGTGTGACTGCACGCGTCAGAGTGACGTAAATACTAGACTCTTGAAAATAATTGGTGCGTGTTTGAAGGTGAAGAGTCTGGCTGAAATGCTAAAGTGTTTTTGTAAGGCTTGAGAGAGTGTATTAATTTATGGATATATGGTGATGACTTAAAGAGAGAATGATGGGACAGGCATTACAAGGCATTTTCAATTCAATTCAATTAAATAGGAATGGTAAAAGTGAGCTTATTTTTTTCATTGGCTTGATCAGCCAGTGTACTATAACTTTTCTAAATGATCCTACATGTATTTTCGCCTGGTGAATAATAAAACAAAATTCCCATAGATTCATGTCAAAGGGGGAAACTTCCTTCCATATTTAGAGACCATTCAAAAGTTTGGGGTCGGTAATGTTTTTGAAAAAAAAATTTAAAAGAAGTTTCTTATGCTTTATGCAAAGCTGCATTTATTTGATCAAAAATAGTAATATTATGAAATATTACAATTGAAAATATTTTTTGATGTGTTAATATATTAAAAAATACAATATATTTCTATGATGGTGGCGTTCATTTTCAGCAGTGTTAATTAAATATCATTAAAATACTAGTTTCGTTTTTGTTAATATTTTGAATTAGATGTTAATTTAGTATTTTCCATTATAGTAATTTTGTTGTCTTTTTGTCATTTTTATTACTTTTGTTGTTTTTAAGTATGTCTATAGTTTTTTATTTTTATTTTTTACTTCTGTTTGAGTTATTTTTAAGCTAAATGAAAATGGGAAAGTAGCCTTGGAAAGTAGTTGAAATAAAATATGATTTTTATATTTTATTTTATTTCAATTAACATGTATTTTATTTCAACAATAGTTTTAGTTAATTATAATAACAGTTATGCCGGGGAGCAGTTGGGGGTTGGGGGTTCGGGGGGTGCTCAAGGGCACCTCAGTCGTGGTATTGAAGGTGGGAGAGAGCGCTGTACATTCACTCCCCCCACTACAATTCCTGCCGGACCGGAGACTCGAACTCGCAACCTTTGGGTTACGAGTCCGACTCTCTAACCATTAGGCCACGACTTCCCCCTGCATTTGCTGCTCAGAAACATTTATTATTATTATCCGTGTTGAAAACAGTTATAGCTTTTTCTGTCTTCTCTTTCAGCTCTTCAGGGAAGTAAGAATAATGAAGATTCTAAATCATCCAAATATTGGTAAGTTGTCCTACAGTATTTGTTTTTAGAAGCTCTGTCTCTTTCTCTCTCTCTGTGGAGATGTTTGGGAATGTGGCACACAAAGTGGACTGTAGTGGAGGCCTCTCTAATCCCCTGTGCAGGAACTCCCTCTGCTTTTCCCAGAGCCGCCACACCGCTCCTATTCAGACGGCCGAGCGGCTCCTCCCGGCAGCACAAAAGCACTCCTGTATGCCTCTGTGTGTTCCATTGTTGAGCATCCATCATCTGACGGCCTGCACATGCCTCTCCTCCCCCCTCCTGTCTGATGATGTCATCTCTGAGTGGCCCCTGGCCCCACACTCACCCCAATACCATTCCTGGACATGAGCAGGCGTTTGTGTTCATGAGAGACCCTTGTTTTCTATTATAAAATATGTAGTTCTAGTTCTGGATGCTGATAGGTCAGTGATGGCATGAAACTATGAAATGGCACAAGGGTTTTCAAACTTTTTGATACCCCTAAATATGATGATCCCCTTATGAGGAGCTCCCTTCTTAAAATATAAAGACGGCTATATACACTGATGTTCAAATGTTTAAGGTCAGTAAGATTGTTTTAAGAATTTAATGCTTTTATTAAGCAAGGATGCATTAAATTGATCAAAAATGACAGTAAAAACATTTACATAGTTGCAGAATTTTTTTTAATTTCAAATAAATGTGGTGTCCACAAAATATAAGCAGCACAACTGCTTTCAACATTAATAATAAATGCTTCTTGAGCAGCAAATCAGCATATTTCTAAAGGATCATGTGAGACTGGAGTAATGATGCTGAAAATTCAGCTTTGATCACAGAAATAAATTACATTTTAAAATATATAAAAATTATATATTATATAGATTATAGATTACGTTATTTTAAATAGTAATCATGTTTTTCAATATTACCATTTTTGATCAAATGAATGCAGCCTTATAAGCATAAGAGAGACTTCTTTCAAAAACATTCTTACCGACTGCAAACTTTTGAATGGTAGTGTATAAAGATTAATTTATACTCTGTGAGAAAAATAATAAGCATGATATTACAAAGACAAGACATTTAAAATGTTAAATTAATTAATTATCATAATTAGGCTTAAGTAATAAGCTTCTTTTGTCATACTTAATAACAATTAAAATATGATCTGAAATTACAATAATTATATAGTATATTATATTATATTGCACAGTATATAATATTGCATATCTTTCCTATACTTAAATATACTTAAATAAAACTGTATGAAGATCAGAATTTAGGATTTGGTGTGTGACAATAGAACAATTGTTGCACCTCTTTGTAAACCCTTGTTATAGCTCATAAAAAATTGCTTAATTATATAATGTTTATTGAAAACATATCTTTACTATGTAGTCACTGTTTCTGCAAGGCTTCGAGCATGCAGAATGCTAAGATAGGCGAATTTTAAGTGTCAGTGTTTATTGAATTTGTCCAGGAGGTCGGTCTGTGACCTTTAAATTGTCTGTTGGTCAGATGTGAATTTGCAGGTCGGTGTTCACTCATCTGGTTTGATATTGCAATGGAAGTCAAACATTTTCATGAGCTTGCATTTGTTTGAATGGAAGATGGAAGTGACCAACTTATAGTTTTGCATACAAATCGCCATTTCAAATTTCATTTCAAAATCTTGCATATAGTGTTTGTAGGATTGGGAGAACATTGTTTGACAATACTTTTGATGAGATCTTTTAAAAAAAACGGAATGTAATCAAATATCTTTTTCACTACAAAAGAAATGCAGTGAGGACTTCTGAGAACACTTATGAGTAAGGACCTAAACAATACAGTACGATTGTTTCTTTGTCACTTCACTGAAACACAGCGTCCAGATGAACCGAATTGCTCAAATGAATCAGACTTCCCAACACTATTGTTTTCAGTTTGTCTGTACTGTGTAAGTTTGTGTTGTGTCATACATGTCTGTTCCATCTGCACTTTTTGCATGTTTCACATATGAATGACTGAACCAGTGAAAGTGTTTAATGCATCGTCATGAAGATAACGTGTTAACAGTGAGTAGGAGGAAAGGTAATTGCTATCTCCCAGCTACGGCCCACACACTTCCTAACCTTTCTCTTTCATTCAGATTTTACCTCCATCAGCCTCCTCACATAACCTCTTAAGGCTAGCCTTTCTCCTCGCGTGATTGTCTTTCATCTGCACTCATTATTTCACAGAATGTAGAACGTCTTTCCAGGAATCAGGAATCTAGTGTGTTGTCATGACAACGCTCCCTTCCGAATCCACATGTGATGCCCTCTGCAGTTATCAGTGTGGTGGCACACGCTCGGGCATCGTCTACTCCTGAAGTGTACAGTGTCTGGTCACACGCTGTCACTGCCCCAGAGATGACCTACTTTTTGTCCTTTTCTCACAAATGAGGGAAAAAGGCAGAGTGGATTTCTAGAAGAGGATGTGGGTGGCATTGATGTGGATCTGGTTGTGTCAAACTCGGAGCCTGGCACATTTAGAGCAGCACTAAAAGAAAGTTTTATCATTATGTACTCGCCCTCACGTTGTTCCCAACCTATATGCTGTCATTTTTGGTCTGTTGAAAGATTTCTGTAGAAATATTTAAAAAATCATTATGCAACTTTTGTAATGTATCAAGCATGTCTGTCAAGCTCAAAACAAACAAACAAAACTCCCACTTTTTCCACTATATTCCAAGTGTTTTTAATGTGAGAAAAGCCTTTATTTGCTAGTATTCTAAAGCCTTAAAGTATTATAAGCTATAAACCAAAACCAAGCTGCTACAAGGTAAATCACAATAATACAAACTTTGATATGATGCAAAAAAGTATTTAAAAATCAGACAAAAAAGCTTTAATGACATAAATAACTATAGTCCCATGATGCTTTGTGATTAACTTAATGGAGAACTCTAAAACATTATATATAATGTAATATGATAAAGTATAATATTTAAACATATAAATATATATATAATTTCAATATACTTCTTAAATATTTATCTAGTTGAAATAATGCAGACTGCTTAAAAATGTGATTCTTACTTTGTTGCACTCTATTAAAAACGATGCATTGTGTATTAATAATGACTTTAAATTTCAGTTCGTTTCTCACACAGAGCTATCACATGATCTTAGAAGATTTGAAATATTTTTGTGTTGTTGTTTTGTCTGTTTCATAGCTTGACAGACATGATCAGAGATGATCATTATAAACCGTCATTAACTTGCAAGAGTTGTATAATAATTATTCAGAAAATTCATTTTTTGCTCCACTGAGGAATTTGGAACAACATGTGGATGAGTAAATAATGACACTATTTCAATTTTTAGTTGCACCACTACTGCATGATGGCAGAAGCATATTAGCCTGACAGATTTATGATGACCTATTTTCAGAATAGACACACACACAAAAGCTTGAAGTGTGTGTGTTTGTGTGCCTCTGAACTCAAACATCGCTGTCACAGAAGAAGAGCACTGCCTTCGCTGGCATTTACGGCATTACTAAATTTAGCGTACATGTTGGGAATACGTTTGATGTTGTGTTGTTGGGTAGTGTTACTTAAACCTGGCCCGTCACTCGCGTCTCAAACAGCATTCATATACATTAACGTTTTCCTGGAGCCACGGCGCATGCCTGTGCAGTTATAGGTCAGCAGGGAAGAGCTCTGCAGGCACACTGTGAACTGAATTACATTTCAGCTCATCTAGATGCTTTAAGAGTACAGCTGGAGAAACAGTTATTAAGATGCTGAATCAAAGGGTTTTAGAAAATACTTTATACTTTTTAGCATTGCAAACTGTATAAATAACAACATGAGTTTAACAGTGAACGATATTATATTTAAAATTAACACAACTTTAAAAAGTTTGGGGTCGGTAAGATTTTTTTAGTTTTTTGCAAGAAATTAATTTTATTCAGTAAGGATGCATTACACTGATCAAAGGTGTAATTAAAGACATTTATAAAATGTAATTCCCTCTTTCAAATAAATGCAGTTCTTTTGAACTTTCTATTCGTCACTGTTTCCACCAAAATATTAAGCAGCATAGCTTTTTTCAATATTGATAATAATAAAAATGTGACAATGAAGACTGGAATAATGGCTGCTGAAAATTCAGCTCTACCATCACAGGAATAAATAAAATAAATTGTAGAATATAATAAAAATGGAAACCAGATACTTTAAATTGTAATAATATTTCACAATATTACTCTTTTACTGTATTTTTGATCAAATAAATGCAGCCTTTAATAAATTAGAAGACTTTTAATTTTTTACATATTTTATGACAAAAATGCAAAACACTTTATTATTAGATCAAAATACCTGTTGCATAATGGAATTGAATCTTATTGTGAAGTGTAACCAGAATAAAAAAATTATTTTAAATTATATTTTTAATTTTTAAATTGTAACATTATTTTATTGTAACATTGTACATTTTAATTAGCCAAAAAATTTTATGACACTGATTTAATTAGTCCAGAAGACTTGATGCCATTGTAAGGAAACGGGTCAATTTAGCTCAAAGGGAATCATTTAAGATTTTATAGGGAATTGGGACAGAATCACATTTTTACAGCTGATCACTGAGTCGGCCAGCGATTCATTGAACGAGCCGTATAACATCAATTCTGCAATGGATATTAATATCCAAAGTATAGTGAAAACACTATTTATTAGCACAGTAACAAGATCGGCAGTTTAAAGGGGTCATATGATGTGATTTCAATTTTACCTTTCTCTTTGGAGTGTTGCAAGCTCTTGGTGCCTAAAGAAGATCTGTAAAGTTGCAAAGACTAATGCAAGCCTGCCCGCCGCCTCTCACTAAAGCCGGCCGCTGCTCACTCTAGACCGACGTGTGTGACTCTGTGTTTCGTTGTGAAAGCAAAACTACTTTGTTTGGCCTTCCAAAAGAGGACACGACTAGAAATCAGTGGTTAAGTTGTATTTACAACACTGTTCCAGAACAGTTCAACCCAAATATTCAGATGTGTGTGGCACATTTTATGGAGGACTGTTTCCTGAACCTGGTAGAGTGGACTACAATGCCGGCTGTTCTGACTCGCAGACTGTAAGTACGTTTTTATATTGAAAGAATTTGCCACTGACGATTCAAACGCGAGTTTTGAGCAGTGTGGAGTAGCGTTTGTAGTTTGTCATTTCTCCGATCACAAATACAGACATGGTTTTATGTTAACATTGTTTAAACTGGGCTGTGGGACACCTCCCAAATGGTGTCTTGACCATTTAGATATTGTCTTTGCTCGGGGCGTTGTATGTTTCTCCTCCCAATTCATAAATCAAATGTTATCTTATAAGTCACATGGTCCGAATTTTCCCGCTCTTGCAGAGTATAATTTTGGACATGATTTCTATAACAAGAATATGATACATTTGACAAAGAATTGATTCAAAGAGCTCATGTTTGTGATTACTATCATGGATTTATATGTGATGGTCATGCTGTGCATCTCTTTGACCATCAATCTTGCTTACTTGCCCCAAAATTGACAATCTCCTTCCTGAGTTGTTCTTTTGTGTTAATGTTGCAAGCTGTTCTGTGAAAGAGTTGGTTGGTTAGGCTTGCTTCAGACTGGCCGGCGCTAGGATCCGATTTACGAACATCCTGTCATCTTGGGCCTTTCTGTGGAATTCGGCTCCTCGTGTTTCAACCATGTTCTTGATCGAATCTTAAATGGTCTGATTCGGTCTGATACCCTACACCATTAACCACAAACTTTTACATTTGTGTTTTGCTGCATCCACGATAACAGACAACTGTCATATTGGCCTGCAATACAAACAAAAACGTATTTGTCAGAACAATAAAACCAGCAGAATAATGATCATTGATTTTCATGTGTGACTTTCTCTGTCTCTTTCTACAGTAAAGCTGTTTGAGGTCATAGAAACAGAGAAGACACTTTATCTGGTGATGGAGTACGCCAGTGGTGGTGAGTTTGATGAAGCTAATATGACACTGCTTGTGAGCTCCATATGTTATGTAATCTTGTGCAGCCGGCCCTGTAATTCTGCATAATGAAGTATATGAAACCGAGAACGCATGAGCGCTATATGATTCGCCATGTGCGTCTCCTCTCTCCACAGGGGAGGTGTTTGACTACCTCGTAGCACATGGGCGAATGAAGGAGAAGGAGGCCAGATCTAAATTTAGACAGGTACAGTACTGCAGTGTACTCTATACAGCCCTGTCCCGCCCTCTTGCTCTCACCCGGGCTGCCCTGCCCATTAACACGCCTCCTGGTCGCCATGGAAACACCAAGCTGTGAACTGCAATTGGGCGATGCTTGTGTGAGTGACGGTTGATGGATCCTGTGGCAGCTGCGTGAAGGTTTTCCCAGTGGGCCGAATGTGGCCCATATACACGACTTTCGGTTTAGGGTCATAAATTAAATACGGTTTGAACAGTTTTAAGACCGCTTTTGGAAAACCACAAGTCCTCGTCAAAATTCATTTGCTGACATCGCAGCAGCCGTGCATTGTAATGAGCTTTTTGCCAAATCTTAGAATTCTGGAGTGTTTAAAATAGCATAAATGCCAGTTTTACAATATGTTTGCTGTGCATTTTATGCAATTTCCTCTTTGCACAGAATACAAGGACACTAAATTTCGACAAAGTCCTCAGTATTCAGCAAGAACAAAGCTATTAGACAACAATGCATTACGCTTGTTTTCTAGAGTGACCAAACGAATTCATCTATATTCATCTCTTTCTCGATTATTTGATTAGACTTCTTAAAGGTAAGCCATTTTTACACAAGATTAAATTTTATTTTATTCAAATAAATATCCATATATTTTTTCGTCATAATAACAATAACCTAAATTTATGCTAAATTTAAGTTCACTCAATATAATGTGACGACAATGTAGCAAACAACTGCTTTAAATATTTATTATTGCATTTTATCTACTGTTTCATATACTATTTTTTTTTTAGGTATATTTATTACATACCGTGCAGTAAGCAGTTAGTATCCCATTGTTATTTAAGTGTCACTGAGATACTATTATAATTTTTGTCAATATTTTATAATAGAGGTTTTTGTTTAATTAATATCATTATTGGTATTATTTATCTTTTGATTAAGTTTTATATAATGTTTATTTAGTTATTTTAGAACCAACTTAAACTAAACGAAAATGAGTAATTTTGCCTTGGCAACTAGCAGAAACAAAATAAGTATGTTTTTATTTTAGTTAAAAAAAATTTAATTTCATGTTTATTTTATTTCAAGTAATGAAATGTTTTTTTTATGGTTGTAGTTTGAGTTAATGATAATAAAATTAGTAATTTTGTGTCAGCGAAGATCTTCCAGATCGATAAATACAAAAAAAAAAGAATGGTGTTGTTGACATGTTTACATTTTTTTATTATATTTTTAATAATATTTTAATAATTAAAAAATATTAATTATATTTTATTTAATAATTTATTTGAAAAAAATTATATGAATTAACTTAAAATGTAAAAAAAAAACACTCATGTGAGTTGAAGACTCCAGTCATATCAATGTCCTAGATTAATCAAAGACCAAGTTATTTTGTTATACATAGAGGTGAGCATGTTTTATGACGACCACCATGTTAAGATCACTTCACCAGCCGGATGCTACTCCATTCATCTTAATAATCCCTCTATTATCATAAACTACTTGTAATAAATTAATCATGGGTGACAAATACATGCAGTGATGGCAACGATAAGCTTTTACGGTTGCTTGATGCTGCATTTACGCCAAATTGTGCTGTCAACAGAAAACCTCCAGGTGTTGAGTGCATTGAGAGAGCTCTAGTGAGACAGCCACCCACTGACAGCATCATTTGCTCCTTTTAATTACCCGAAGACCCCTTTCAACCTCCCTCCTTCCCACTGCGACCCATCGGTCTAATGGATGAGTACGGTGGGTTTGCCCACAGCTGATGCAGACATCTGTAGTCATAGCGATGGGGTCTCCCTCCCATCCTCCTCTCCTCTTTCTGAGCCCTGTGCTGCTGCTGTGGAGACAGCTTATCTGGGTCAGGCATGAAGCACCGCTGAGATTTCTGAGCAGAGCAGAAAAACCACCAGATTCTTCCACCAGCCGGAGAGAGAAATGGAAATGTCTGGGACATGGAGAGAGCTGCATGAATATTAAACAGTATCAAGAATGTTGTGCGTTTGAGAACTAGATGAGGAAATCCACAATTATAACGAGGTATCATTTGATTGGATCACATATTAACAAAATAAAAAGTTACATTATAAGTCATGTTTTATTGCAGTAATGCTTTTGGAAATCTGTCATTTGTGCGTGTTTGTTTATTAAATATTTTAGCTAATATAATGGGAGTGATCTCGGCTCCACTGCAGATTTCCCTTCTAAATCAACATTGGGAAGCGAATCTTGTTCAATTTCGAATGTCATTATAGAAATACTGTAATTGTGGGTGTATTTGTCACCTATGATTACTTTAGCTGCCGACAGTGTTTAATGTGATGATAAAGATAATGTGAGGAGCGTTTAGCTGGTCATGTCTTTGTAGCAGCCAAACTTACACAAACGTTCAAGAGTTTGGAGAAGTCTGTCATTTTCACTGGAAGATCAAGTTATGATGTTTTTATAAAAAATGTACGAGGTCAAAAAAGGAAAACTTATATGTGGATAAATTGTTCACAATATCATCTATAACATGCATTTAGAAAATAGATGGGGTGAATTTTTATTTCATGTCAACTTTTTGTGAAAGCATTCTCTTCAGTCATCAAGGCTGCATTTATTTGACATGCTTCTTTTTTTTAATGAATTTTAAAATTTAATTTTTTTGCCTGTGATGCAATGCTGAATTTTCAGCATCATTACTCCAGTATTTAGTGTCACGTGATCCTTCAAAAATCATATATAATATGCTGATTTGATGCCAATGATACATTTATTATTATTAATGTTCAAAACAGTTGTGCTGCTTAATATTTTTGTGGAAACTGATAAACATGTTTTAGGATTCTTTGATGAAAATTTAAAAGAACAACATTTATTTAAAATATAAATATTTTATAATATTATAAATGTCTTCACTGTCACGTTTGATCAATATAATGCATCCTTGCTGAATAAAAGTATTAATTCCTCAAAAAAAAGACCCCAAACTTTTGAATAGTTTTGTACATTACATTTTGAGTTGATACTCTATTTAAAAAGAAATAAGGTCCCTCAATCTCACATCCAGGTTCTGATGGTTTCGAGCTCCAAGCGTCGTCTGTGCTTCAGCAAGCCTCTCTCTCCCCCCTCATTTATCATCCCGGACCATGTGTCAGAACCTCAGCACACATGCTCCCCCGTCAAATCAATGGCATTCTGGGAAAAAGCGATGATGCCAGTTAATGTGGCGTATTAGCTGTTACACCACACCCTGTCTGTCATCCAGTCAGTTCTGTCTCTCTCTCCACGCTCTAAAACGCCTTTGTCTCCTTCTTCAGATTGTATCAGCGGTTCAGTATTGCCATCAAAAACACATTGTCCACAGAGATCTCAAGGTAAGATCATCTTTTTGTCCCAACAAACAAAAAGTCTGAGATTATAGGTTTATCTCCTCATACTGCTATTCTCTCAAATGCCCTGCATGTAGATAGGTCTTTTGTACCGAAATGGTGCGTAAGTCAGTTCTTTGGTACGGACTGGTTGATTAAATCAATTAGCAGCCATGTCTCTGAGCAGGACAGAACATGAGCAAGAGCCCCTGAAGATCCTGCTTCCTTTCTCCAGTCTCCCTTGCGTCTGCTTTCCCCCTCCAAGTCTCCATGCTCCATTACACACTTTGTTTCCAGACTGATGCTCTGTAAATGATGCATGAGACCAGTGTCAGAGTGAAGCTGTCTAAATGACTTGAGTGTAGGAAGCCAGGTGGAAATGTGGGCCTTTTTTTGTGTGTTATGTGCTGTTGCTTTCACTCTTTCTTTTGCTGTCTGTACCTGTCTGCTTAAATGTATGTTAGTAAGGAGTTACTGTAAGGAGCATCTTGGATAGATTACATTTACATTATATATACAGTGAGGTCCAAAATCTGGGATTCATAATTGAATATTAACCTACAAATAATCAGTGGATTTTAGAAATTATTTTTAATAACTAAGAAACGTTATGATACATTTAGATTTAATGATCTCTGCTCATTATATGTTCTCGGGTGAAAAATCACATCACTGTGATTATTAGTAACTTTTTATTTATTTGTATTTATTTTGTATTTATTTATTCAATTATCAATCAGTATATCTTAGTATAGTATATATCTTTAATGTGTATAAATTGAAGACAATACAAAAAAAGATATAAATACACTGTAATTTAATCAATTGAATTATTATTAAAAATGATTAAATTATATTAAATTAAATACATGCAAAAAACATTTGAATGGCCCCCAAATTATTTATTATAGTTTCATTATTATTTATTATAATGGTTTTATTAAACTAAAATTATATAATATTAATTATATACTTATATATATATATATACTTTCTTATTTATTTAAATTACAAATAAATATTTAATAAAATTATATTAATATATTCATAACATTCAATTAATATTTATTTTAATTAATAAATTAGTTGAATTATAATTATTCTTTCTTCCTTTGATTTTGATGTGAAGTATGACAAGACAAGTCCTTCACAGTTTTCATGTGATGAGAGTATAAATTCGCTTTGCATTTCATTAATCATCAACAAACACAATACGCATGAAAAAGGACTCTTTGTCTCACCTTCTTTTGTTCTGTCATGCAGGCAGAAAACCTACTGCTGGATGCAGATATGAACATTAAGATTGCAGACTTCGGTTTCAGTAATGAATTCACTATTGGGAACAAACTAGACACATTTTGCGGCAGCCCGCCGTATGCGGCCCCTGAGCTTTTCCAGGGTAAAAAGTATGACGGGCCGGAGGTGGACGTGTGGAGTCTGGGGGTCATACTCTACACACTGGTCAGTGGATCACTGCCCTTTGATGGACAGAATCTAAAGGTTAGTGTGCTCAACCCTGAAATGTCACGTTTGCCCTCCTAAACCTTCACAGAGAGTCATACAACTGAGAAGCCTGTGGATTTGTGTAGTGACTCATGAAAAATGCTGCATGAAATCAGTGATTTATTAAAGCAATAAGCCCCATGAGGTTATACATTATACTTGTTTTAAGCAAAATGCAGAGGAGAATGGAATCATTGAAACGTGCAACCTCTCGTGGCTCATTACTTTTATAAAATAGTGATAACTATCAATAAAGACACTAAATAATTAAATAACGATTCTTAATCTCAGTAAAAATGTGTTGAAGATGTGTGTCACAAGTGTCCATAATACTGCTGTTTGATTTCAAATCTCATCCAATCAGATATTACAACCAAAATAATATTTTTACCTGCAGGAACTTCGTGAGCGGGTGTTGAGGGGCAAATATCGAATTCCCTTCTACATGTCGACTGACTGTGAGAACCTCCTGAAACGCTTCCTGGTGCTGAACCCTGTCAAACGGGGAACACTTGAGGTTAGGAACTATAAAGACTCATGGGCCTTTACACAAATACGGTACAAAATAAGTATGTATTGGTCAGTGATAAGAGGTGCTTTATTTTCAGAAAATGCTTGTCAAGCTCAGAAGATCAGCGTTTGTGTATAGCTGTTTATTTTGTTTAATTTGGGGGGTTTGCAGTTGACTAAATACAATTTAAATCCAATTTGTGTGATTTTTGTTTTTTATGGGCCAATTTATTATATTTGAGATGATATACAAAACAATAAAAACTAGTCTGTGTGTGTGTATATATATATATATATATATATATATATATATATATATATATATATATATATATATATATATATAAGAAATATTAAATTATTAGAATTTATAAAATTAAAAAATATTTGTACTGTTTTAATTTAAATGTTGGTTAGTAGTAGTGATAGTAGTTATAACACGTTATATTTCCCCAAAATTAGAGGGAATAATTGTTTAATCACTTCTTCTAAAATCATTAAAAAAAATTCTAGCAATAAAAATCTAAATTAAATATTCAAAATACACGAATTTAAAAAGGATTATAAAGTCAATGTTTTAATTTAAATGTTTATTTATAGTTATTTCTCAAAAAACTGAATTGTTTGATCACTTTTTCTTATATAATCTTGTTTTTATTTACAGTAATTTGGGTAACCGGGTCAAATCGATGGATTCACAGATATAAATATCTGATATGTTTAAAACAAGCAAATTTTTTTTATTTTATGGTTAATCAAACATTTTCAGTAGATCTTACAACAAAAAGAAAGATGTGAGTTTATGCATCTAATGTTTTTAAAAAGTAACGGGACACCAAAGTGTATAGTGTTCATAGAAGGTGCCTTGATTAATGAAAACATAAACCTCTCACACCGCCACATTCCCAATAAACCAAGCATGTTATCTCGTCTCTTTTCCTTTATTCTCCCTTCATCATAACCTTTAGCCTGAGTGCACACTTTCATCACAGCATGCTTTCTCCTCCCAATTAATTTAACATGAAGCTCATGACCAGACACACCCTGTTTTAAACTTGCATGGTGATCTCTGAGTTCCAGTGAAACAGCGCCTCCAGTGTTTGGGGGCTTTAGGTGCAGGTTATATACTGTTCACTTCACAGCCCATAATGCACCTGCTGAATTATAGTTCTGTTGCATTAAACTCAGAATGAAATGACATCCGCTGATGAATAATTGAGGATTTGAGAGACACTATGCACTCAAGCGTGTTATACCGCTCCTTAATATGTGGCTGAGTTTTCATATTCATATTATTTAGCACTACATATGATGAAATGATATACAAAACGAAAAAAATCTGTCCACAACTTATATATATATATATATATATATATATATATATATATATATATATACATGCATCAGAAATCATTCTAATATGCTGATATGCTACTCAGAAAACATTTATCAATGCTGAAAACAGTTGTGCTGCTTAATATTTTTAAAATACATTTCTTAGAAGTCTTTGACTAGAAAGTTCAAAAGAACAGCATTTGTTTGAAACAGAAATCTTTTGTAAAAGCTTATAAATGTTTACGGTCACTTTTATCATTTTAATGCATTTACTTATTTAATGAATAAAAGTATTAATAAAATCTTTCTGACCACATACATTTGAACAATAATGTACCTGAATAGTAATGTCCAGTTTTAACTGCACATTTGAAGGCAACTCGAGAACTGAACTTTTTTACCGCCACAGCAACGCATGTAAGCATTCATGTTTTTAGCTGGATAGACAAAACAGAATCCAAATTTACAGAAGTATAAAGTTCAAAAGAACAGCATTTATTTGAAATAGAAATCTTTTGTAACATGTCTTTACTGTCACATTTGATTAATTGAATTCATCCTTGCTAACTAAATTTTATTTTTGAACAGCAGTGTGTCTGAGTAAGATATGTTAGTGTGATTTGACACTTATAGTCTCAGCCTCAAGGCACAAGCCCAGCAAGTAATAAATATCTGTTATTGCATCTATATATTTGATTTGTTTGCAGATTTATAGTCTCTAACTCTGGAAATTTTAAGCTCAAAATAAAACCATTTTTCCCTCATGTATTTGATGTTATCTTTACAACCTGTCATGGAAATTGCTGTACCTTTATTTCAATGAGTTACCACTTAGTTGCACTCTGCTCTATTATTGTGGTGTCATCGATTTTAGATTTACCCACCCATAAAGGTCATGTCACTTAGACAACACTTTCCTGCTGAAGCAGACAGGAAAACAGAATGAGCTGCAGTGTGGGCCAGTCTTTATACCCATAGTCAAACATCTGACTACATCTGACATCGGTTTATGAATGTTTTAGACTTGTAGCATGTCAGTTGTCATTCTAAACCCATATCACTGGTTATCTTATCAAACTGGATTAGCCAATTACATTCACTCATTTCTCACTGTGCGTTAATCCTGCATTTACATCCAGACAAAAAAAAAAAATTCTGTCTCAGTTGCAGTTTTTATGTTTTGTTTTGTGTGATCACAGTTGGAGGCGAGTGATTCCAGCTCCAGCAGTAACCTTTCTTTGGCAAAGGCCAAACCCAATAGTGAGCACAATAACGGCCAGTCACCATCTCACCTCAAAGTCCAAAAAAACGTCTCCTCCAACCAGAAACAGCGTCGTTACAGTGACCAGGGTAAACATGCTTTTTGGGCTTTACATGGTGCTTACTGTGAGATCTTTGTCTTTTTAATCTTCATTCCTCTCCTCTACAGCTGGTCCAACCATTCCCTCGGTGGGATACCCCAAGAGAAGTCAGACCACTTCTGCAGAAAGTGACCATAAAGAGGAGGGCAGTGCACAGGCACGTAAGTCAAGCTCGTCTGGAAGCCGCGGCATGGCTCCACCGAGCCCCATGCTGGGCAACGCCAACAATCCAAACAAGGCCGACATTCCTGACGGCAAAAAGAGCGCCGGTGCCCCTGGGGTAAGTTGGTAACACCCAAGATCTTTTGTAATGTCATTGTTTGTATAACATAATTGATTTTAAAGTGCCCCTATTATGGATAATGAAAGGTTCATATTTTGGTTTTGGGAGTCCCCAACAACAGGTTGACATGCATGCACGGTCAAAAAACACTTTCATTGTCGTATAATGTGCATTTATTTTTACCTTACTTGCTCAACGACTCCCCAAACGATTCGCTCAAGGATTCATTTTTCCAAAAACCTTCTTTGCGTGACACTAATCTGCGGTGATTGGTCCGATTGGTCTCATAATCAGGGCCGTTTCTAGCCAATTTGACGCCCTAGGCGAAAACACTATTGCGGCCCCCCCCCCCCCCCCCCCCCCCCACGCAAAAACAGTGCCATGTGCAAATTCTTTGAATTACCCATAAATTAAACAATAATAGGGCTACATTTTTCATTAAATGTAAAAAAGTAAAAGAAAAATAATTAATATACAACACAATTTATAATAAATGCACAATTTATTTATTTCAGTCAAACCTATAAAACCCCTTTGTTACCCCAAATTACATATAAAAGCTTCATCAGTGGAATAAAAGTAACCAATGCAGCTACTTAATCATTTGTTACTCGTTAATGCATTAACGTCCCCTTTAAATAACGTGACGCTCTGCCCTCTATGACGCTGCTCCCATTAAGCGCTGTTGGAAGTGAATGAATTGATTCAGCATTTCGACACCTCCGTAAGGATGCATTTAACTCGACAAAGCGGTCTAATAAAGGATCTATTGATTTCATGAATTAGTGAATTTTACTATACAAATATTTTTTAATTGGATGTTTAAGTTTATATGGGAATATTACATGACACGCTGATCCTTTAACAATGCATTGGCGCAAAAAACGCACACCTTTTGGACAAATCTGCCACAAATATTTGGACAAAAGTGCCACAAATACTGCCTAAACAAAATACTGATTTTGTGCACTTTATTTACTGTACCAATATTTTAAATTGGCCTTTGAACTTAGCTTTATTGCATGGCAAAAAAAAGAGTTACCTTGCCAAAGCACTGGCAGAGCCCACTGATCTAATGGCGTTGTTGAGCGCTCCAAATGCAAACTTTGCATGCAGCGATCAGGCAGCAATTGACAGCGCACTGATCTAGTGGCATACAGGCATCGTCAGATTGACAGTATTCTAGCCCAATAATGTTGGGGGATCCAGTGGGGGCGGCAGTCATATTTCAGGGTGACCATGCCACTCTTTATCACAACCCTGCTAAAAGTGCCAGAACGTGCTCTCATTGGCGCCCCTTCAGCTGGTGGCGCCTTAGGCGACAGCCTAGCTCGCCTTTGCCTAGAAACGGCCCTGCCTGTAATGCCTGGTAAAGCAGCGTTTGTGAGCGCAGTGCTGCTTTGTGTACAGCATTACTGGAGAAACAACTATTTTTACCGCTCCAAAAGCGGCACCTAGTGGCAAAGAATGAATTTGCACTTTCATTCAGACCAAAGTGAAAAAGACCAACAAGTGGGCGGACAATATGCTAATGTTTCATGTTGAAGTCAACATGAAATGGCTTGGGATTTGTTTTAAAAACGACTAGTTTCAATGATTCAGAGTCGACTCTTTCTTTTGAGAGACAATTTTTTTACACTGTGCACTTTCAGATTTAAAACTTTGCAGGATGTTTTCATTCACTTAGAGCTGTGTTACACACTGCATGAAAGGTAATTAAAAAAAATCCATAATAGGGGCACTTTAAGAGAATCTAACAATTTGGAGCCAGGGTTATTATAGTAACCTAAAACTAATACCATAAAAAAAATTATGTTGCATGAAATACAATCAGCCTTAACTTAAATAGAATAAAATGCAAAAAAAAAATAATAATAACTTTTCAACTAGTTGCCAAGACAAAATTTCTCATTTTAATTTAGTTTAACTTGATGTACTTAAAACTAAAATAAAAATGAATTAAAACTATATAGATATATTTTAAAAATAATAATTATAAAAATGACAAATTTACTAAAACTTTAATTAAAGTTAAAATGGAAAAAATAAAACTGGTTGGAACGACGTGTTGATTATATACATAAATGTGTTTAGTTATTTTATGAATCAACACAATTTTGGCATCAGAAAATGGGTTTTTGGATTCTGCCAAAATTATTGATGGAACAGGTACTTTTTAATCGGGTAAATGTCAGATAAACATGTCAGCTGTAATAAATATTGATTTCTTGTTTTTAGTCTATCTTTATTTTGTTAAAACAAGATCTTTTAATCTAAGCAGTTTTAGTTGATGCATGAACAAAACTTAACTAAACATTATTTATAGCGTGCCTACCATCCAATAATAGCTTTGTGCTTTGCTACTTTTAAAATTAGTCTTTCAAATTCTGTCAAGTTTATAACAAATTTCAAATAATAAATGTGATTTTGATGCTCTTTAATGCTCATTCAGATTTTTCCATTTCAACAACGAATCGGTGTAGATTTATTTTAGGTTTCGGCTAAATTAAAACTTTTAATTTTGTTTCGGTGTTTCATTTAAAACAGTTAAGACTCACACTATAATATGTATTTTTGCAGAGCAATTCTGTGTCTAGCGGTATGACCAGGAGAAACACATACGTGTGTAGTGAGAGGAACGCCACAGACCGTCACTCCGTCATCCAGAACGGCAAAGAGAACAGGTGAGTCCCTGAGACCTCTCATTTGTAGGTCACAGGTTGTGAATCTCCCTTTTCCCTTTCAACATGAACACCGTTTTACAGGAAACACCACCATGTTGCTCAAAACAGTGACTGACAACAAAGAACAACTTTTCATCAGTATTTTCATCCTCACTCAACCAGATATTTTCACAAAAACTGTTGCTCTTATCTATAGGTTCATAAATGTTTGTGGAGAGTCATCTGTTTGTCCCCCCCCCCCCCCCTTCCATTTTTATATAATTGAAAATTTTTAACT